ATCCCAGCACCTGGAAAAGCAGGGCAGGCCCCTTAAAGGTCTGTCTACAGGAGACAGAGCCACAGCCAAATCTACAGCACACACTAGGACTGAACCAAACAAAGTCAACCATTGCAGCCAATCTTCTCTGACACAAAAGCACAGCAATACCACAGGAAAAGCGGAAATTTCTTTTCAACAGAAATAGCACTCATTTGCCAGACAAAATTACTGCTGTTGTGGGATCATAACTTGAGTTTCCTGGACTTTTTTTTTTTAAGTCTATCTACTGGCAGATTCTGCTCCTGTTTAACAAAGTCTGGGTTTTATTTTTCTAATATCTCTATGAAATTAGCTGCCTCATTATTTACCATAGCTAAGAAATGGAATCAACCCAGATGCCCCTCAGTAGATGAATGGATCAAGAAAATGTGGTATATCTAACAACAGAATTCTATGCCTCCATCAGAAAGAATGACATTTGTTAGGAAATGTAAAGACTTGGAAAAAATTAAACTAAGTGAAGTAAGCCAGGCCCAAGAAACAGCTCCCAAGGTTTCCCTTATTTGCAATAACTAGTATATGTCTAGGACAAGCAGAAAGCTATGTATACATGGCCATATAAGACGATGTTAAGCGAAATGAACCCTAAGATAGGGAAACAAGTGGATTTTTCTTTCTTGCTATTGTTTTTAACATATTTATAATGTACTATGTGATTTTTTTTTTGTTTCTTTGGTATGTTCTTCCTCCACGGTATAACCCTGGTTTTTTTCACTGTATTTGATTCCGGTACCCTGCATCTTGTGTATACATTTTTCTAATTTGGGGAGGGGAAGGGAAATAACAAAATGCTTAAATAATGATATAGGTTGACCCATTGTAACAATGAGATGTCAAGACACTATGCTGAAAACGAACTTTACGAACTTGGAGTTGGGGAAGTAGGGAGGGAAGAGATGGTAGGGGAAAAACAAAGGAGGAGGTAACAATGCTCCATAGGAAATGTACTCATTACCTTGCTCATGTAACTGTAACCCCCCTATACAGTATTTTTACAATAAAAAAATTTTAATTAGTTGGCTCACTCCAACCCAATCCTGTTAAAAGCTTCCCTCACATTTTTTCTGATATGAAGGACAAATGGCTGCAGCATGATCCTCTGCATGCAATACCAATAAATCTGTCCTTTGATAAATAAGTGAATTAGATCCCTTTAATCAGAAAGTATTAACCAACTGCAATTGTGCTCCATGACTCCAGTTCCCAAAGGTCTGAACTCCCTTGTGAAGCCCTGAGATTAAAGCCAGGCTCAAGAGCAAAACTCTTCCCATGAGCCCCTCACAGGTGTGGTACTGGTAAAGAAGGGAGATGAAGGGCTGACAGCCACATTCCAGGGGTTTGAACACTCTCCATCCCTACTTTTCCCTGATGCATCTGCCTAGAAATTTATCCCAAGAAAGTTGTTCCAGCTCCTCTGGCACCAATAGACATCTGCTGTCCTCCTCCTGCACATATTGATGATTTTTCTCATCCTCTACCTACTGAGAAAAGGGAAAAAGAATCTGGGGATTTGGCAGGTGCTGGTGGCTCACACTTGTAATTCTAGCTACTCAGGGAAGCTGAGATCTGAGGATTGCGGTTCAAAACCAGCCCGGGCAGGAAAGTCTGTGAGGCTCTTATCTCCAATAAACCACTCAGAAAACCGGAAGTGACATTGTGGCTAAAGTGGTAGAGTGCTAGCCTTGAGCTGAAGAGCTGAGCTGAGGGACAGCACACAGACCCAGAGTTCCAGCCCCACGACCGACCAAAAAAAAAAAAAGACTGGTGATTAAGGACTCTTAAGTATCTCACTATTAGTTACCATAGTTTCAGACATTGTGTTAGAGCTGCCACATGACCTTAGGACAAACTCTGGACCACAGCTGCAGAGATCAGGTACCTGCTAATATTTACAGAAAGTGCCCAAGTTCTGAATAGCAACAGACATAGCAGGAAAATATCCCATACTTTACAAAGCCAGGGCAATGGAGAATTACCACAAGGGCACATAGGTAAACACTAGGAAAGATGTTTTGGCTTATCTACTCCTTGCTCTGTTATATTTCCTCCCGTCCTTTATGTAACCCACAGAAAGGCATGCAGGATTACAAAATTATCTATAATCATACTTCCCACACATCACACTAACTTTTTTTTTTGGCAGTACTGGTTTGAACTGAGGGTTTTGGACTTGCTAGGCATGTACTCTATCTTCTGAAACTGTCCTTGTTTTGTTGTTGTTTGCTTTTGTTGTTTTGTATGCTGGTCCTGGCTTGACCTCAGGGCCTGGGTACTGTTCCTGAGCTTCTGTGCTCAGGCTAGTGATCTAGCACTTGAGCCACACAGCTCCACTTCCAGTTTTTTGGTGATTAACTGAAGATGAAAATCTGACTTTCCTGCCCAAGCTGGCTTTGAACTGTGATACTCAAATCGCAGCCTCCTGAGTAGCTTGTGCCCAGCTGTCCTAGTTATTTTTGAGATAGTCTCACTTTATGCCCAGGCTGGCCTGGGCTGTGCTCCTCCTACTTATGCTTCTCCCCCACAGTTGAGATAACAGGCATGCTGAACTGCACCCAGATACTTTTTGCCTGGGATGACCCTGACTTACCATCCTCCTGATCTGTCTCCTGAGTACCTAGGATCAGAGTGATGAGCCACTACTGCCCAGCTGCAGGCAGTAAACACTGGCTAAGAACAGGGAAGACAGGGACCTCAGGAAAGATTTTTAAAAGGGGCAGAGGAAGCTGAGATATAGCTTAATATAGTAAGCATGAGACCCTGCATTCAATCCCCAACACAACCAAGAAAAAAAAGATGATGCAAAAGACCCTGGCCCAGTCAAATGGAGATGAGTTTTAGGCAAAAGAGGTGGCTGCCAACACAAACCTGCATTTTCCAAACTGAATCAAATCAGGGAGGGAGTCTTTTTTTTCTGCTTTACATATTTCAACACTGTCTAATGGAATATCAGGAACAAGGCCAAACAGCCCCACTGCTCTTGGCACTGGGGCCAAGGAACAGAAATGTATTTTTATTCAGCAAAGCAAGGTGAGACTGAAAATGCCACAGGCCCAGGGGGAGATGGGAGGGGGGGGGCGGGAGGACTCCCGCCTCTGGTATAGGGCAGAAAATCACCTGCCATGCTTCTGTACCAACTGCAAGGGTAGACAGAGGAGTTGTGTACTTGTGTCTCCCTTTAATCCTCCTCTCTACTTTGCAGCTTAGTAAACCTTCAGGGAGCGACAACTTCTCCAGCATTACAAAAATACTCTCTGTGGTCCTCGCTGCCTCATCCAGTGAAGAATAACAGGAATAAAACCAGCACTTATTATACTTTAACAAGAGGGCAAATGGCCAGGGAACCTTGTTTGATGCAGCTTCTGATAGGCGTGGTCTGAGATTTCAAACATGGTCTGTGAATTTCAAACATGCCCAGAGTGGACAGGACATTGCTGCTTCATAACCTGGGCTTCCAGCAACCAGAAGTTAGAAGTATCTTCAAGTGTTCTGCTTTATGAACACAAAGGATTATCACATCCCTAATTAGCCTCACATAGGCTAACAATGAAATTAGACAGAAATTAAACACCTTACAGATGCTAGGCACACAAGCCAAGGAGCAGGGAAAAGAAAAAGGACCTTTGCCTATTCATCAAGAGCCACAGCTTTCATATCAGCACTTCACAGCAACAAGGGTGGACTATGGCTCTAAAGGTCACAGCTCACCAAGGCCCAAGAAGCTGTGACAATTAGGCACCCACCAGAATCAATGATTATGTATCACACATTTCTGAGATGTACACATGATAACCAACACTTCATGTCCACTCTGTTTCTCTAGCCCTGGTCTCCCTCTTCCCCATGTGTAAAGTGGGTCAGAAGCATCTTGTGTGAATGAGGAAAGAAGTTACCTGTCCAGAACACAGAGAGTGGCAATTCTACCCTCAGGCTTTCCTGCAGCCCTACCAGGAGTATTACACAAGAACACAGCACTCCCTAAACACAGGGCCTGTGGCCAGCCAAAACCAGATGTGCAAGCTACACCAGAAATCTTATTAACACTACGTTCCTGCCAAATCCCTCTGCTCAGTTTGCTGAGTACTAGTGGTAAGGAAAAAAAAAAAAAAGATACATACAGGTTAGCAAATGAATTCTGAAACCAGCAAAATAAAAATAAAGTAAATCCAAGTAGAACTTGGATGCAGGCAGGAAATTCAATGTGAGAGGGGTGGTGCTATGCTTCAGAATCTGCTGGTAAAACCTGAGAGCATACCCATGGACTCATGACCTCTGGGTGATCTTCAAACCAGCCCTCACCTACACCTGAGAGCTACAGGAACCAAGTAAGGCCAGTTACTAATCTCTAGGAAAGACCAGAAACACCTCAGATGCTAACAAGCCGAAGCTTCCCCTCTTTCCTTTTCAGTTAAGTCCATGTGCCCTTTTTTATTTCCCGTGTTTTATCCAACCGTCATATAAAATATATTTTGTTTCCTCCAACACTTGATCATGACAACTAGTTTCTTGTATGTTGATTTCAGAGGCCTGGCACACTGTTTTTTTTTTCTTTTTATAAGTAGTCATAAAAAGGAAACAGTTGTATTACCAAATTCTCTGACAGAAAGATTTATTTATGCCATCTTTCATTAATACAGCTGCCCTTAATTCTAGTTCATCCACCCAAGTTACAGCTTAACCACTAATTATAAGAAATCTACTTCTATGATTCTCCCAGAAGTAGTAAAAAACAAAACAAAACAACAACAGAAACTTTTCCCTCAAACTAGAAGAGGCAACTTCCTACTTTTAATCGTGTAGACTCCAGGAGACAGCAAACAAAGCATGTGTTGTGATCATGCTAAAAGAGCCTTCCTTTACTAGCAAGCATATAAACACATTTCCTCTATCACCAAAGGTCAGCGAGATAATACCACAACCCCTTTGGCACTGCCCAGGAGCCCCAGATGGCAAACACTTACAGAAAGAGAGAGATGACGTGCCTCGATGCAGCACCCAGGGATGGGAGGGTTGTCAGTTCATTATTACTGAGGTACCTGTAACAAGAAAAAATTGATCACTTAGAGGATTTAGAAGAGCAGTGTGAAATCACACACACAGAAGAAACATGAAAAACACTGTTGCTTAAGCAATAGTCTACCCTAAGATAAAAGATAAAGTATTATAAAGTGAGCTTTTAAAGAGACAGAAGTCATATGAGGTAACAGTAATATTTATCACACCCAAAGTAAGAAAAAAAATACTAAGAGGAAACTATTCTGTCTTCCACCAGCTTCTCATCAAGCTCAGAGATCAAGGAATATGGAGAACTGGCCAAGATACAAATGACCAAAGGTGCCCCTATGATCGATCATTGTTACTAGTGCTCTTATGGACAGGAAAGGTTAGGGGGGTTTTCTGTTGTTTTTTGGTGGAGAGGGAAACAGTCCCTTCCCAGTTGTTCCAGTGTTTTGTCCTTGCCAAGGGGTAATGTGTATGATGAGAGCTGGAGACCACTCCCAGGCTTCTTCTCCCTTCTTGTTCTGAGGGCCTATGATCCATGGGGCCAGTTATTTTAATATGCCGCCTTGGTGAAATAACAAGGGAACTATATAAACAGATCCTCATGCTTTTGGGGTTCCAGCTTCTCTGTACTCTGAGGAATGGTCTTCCAGGAAAACAAACACACATGCTTTTGCACTAGAACAAATCTTATTTGTTCTCTGAGCTCCCTTCCCTCTAGAACATTCTAAATCTGTATTGCCACAGTTAATATCTCTTAATAGAAGGGAAAGCCCACAAACAAAAACACAGCTTGCCTGGTCTGCTCCCGGAGGCTGTGCAATCTGGCCTCCTTACATGGACGTGTATTTCCAAATTTGGAAAGAGAACCCAAAGTCAGACTTGCAATGTGAGCCCAAAAAGCCTTAAGAAAGTTAATGCAGTATTCAGGCTTTCTGCCAGGTGACCGGCTAGAAAGAAACTGTATTTGAGACTTGAAGTCAGGAGAAAAGAACTGTGTTATCTTCTCAATATTTTAAGGGAGCTATACCTCACACAAAACATCTAGTTTCTGTTCTGAGACAAGGTTGCTGAAATGATACCAGTATTCAGACACATATATAACTTGCACTGGCTTGAGTAGAAATTGGTTGTCTGCCATTTTTTACAGAAATGAATAGGAGGAAAAGAAGGAAGAAAAGGCTTTGAATTAGCCCATTTTCTTTCTTCAGTGCCAAAGACAGCCAAAGATGAAGCTTGGCAGTTAATGAACTGTGGTACATAGGATGCCTATTTCAACAGCTTCATGAGTGAAGCATCTGTGAGGGGGAAAGCAGATCCAAATCATGAGGCAAATCCTTTCTCCACTTAAAGAGCCCTTGTTTGTGTGTTGAAATAGACAATTAATTACTTTAACAGCCTCTTATCTGACTGCCCCCTAAATCAGATTGTTTCTGCTTCACCTTTATCTCATCCTGCTGTAGGCAAGCTGAAAACTTTTTATCTTAACTAATAAATTCAGAGTGCTAATGTATTTATTACTGCAAGGGACTCTCAGGTAGTTGTTTTTTTTTTTTTTAAATCAGAGCAGAGGTCTTCTGCAATAAGGCAGTCTGATAAGAACTAAGATCATTTCTAAGATTTATTCTGAAACAGGAGAATGGGAGTAATCATGATAAGAGTAGACAACATATTGAAGGTTTACCATATGCCAGACGCAGCTCTAAGAGCTTTTCAGTGCATTAACTCATCTTTAAGCACCTAGAACTAGGTCCTGGGAACATTCCAGTATACCAGTAAGGCAGTTAAAACCGAGGTGTTAAGTAATTTGACCATCAGCAGTTAAGTGGCAGTGGCCTAGGAAGTCAAACTCCAAAGTCTAGGTTCTGAACCACTACTCCCTCTTTTTAATACTGCAAAAATTCCATAAGCATTATGGAATTTCATCAACATGACAACTTCAAGTCAGGTACCAGGAACTACATTTAAGTAACTAGCCTAGCACACATGACGATGGAAGGACGGCTGCAAACCAGAGAATAACAACAGACTAACAGGCCAACCATCATGGGACAGGTCAGAATTCTGTAGGTGACACTGAAGTTGTTTTTCAACCTGTTTTTGTTCTGACTTGATTTTGAACCAACAGTAAGGGTTTCTCTGTAGGGGAACTCTGGCTGATGTGCTAGGTCTTATAGACAGTCCTACTATATGTGACAAAGTATCCCATGCAATCTCACAGAAATAAATGAACAAGGAAAGGGGGCACAACAACATTTCAGTTCTTGATAGACCTGCTGGAAGTGAAGCATGCAAGGACAGTGGAGCAGGGCTAAAGATTAACAGGCATTATATGTCTGGATGAGCAGTCCCAAGGCAACAGGCTGAGTCAGAAATAGCTGGCTCTAATCTCAACAGGGATGCCTGATTTATGAAGAGGACAGTTGGAGCCCAAAGGAGAGGAACTATGTAGCTAGCTTACTTTTAGATCACGTCTACTTTAAAAAGAACTGCTGGGTTCAATGTAAGTTGCTAACTGCATTACTACTGGCTTCCTCATTATTCTCTCTGTCCCTGTTGAAATGAGAATGTGATCCTCGGAAGGCAAGGAAGGCCAAACTCACTGAGACATGAAGAGTTTCTTGCCAGACCAAAATAGAGACTAGTCAAAAATAGCACTGCTGGAGTGTTAAAGGAAAAAGCACTGGGGCTGTTTAGCACAGTCTCCATGAATACAGAAATTTCAGGGATTAAGGACAGTGTGTGATGAAATCTTTTCACTATCTAGGGTTATACGGTCTTCTGCCTCTCGTGTGCTGCCCTTAAAATATCCCCACAGTTTACTACCTCTTCTCCTCCCAAGTTCATTCTCACCTAAGGCCCAGGAAAAAAAAAATCCTTCAGTACTGTCTGGGTTATATAAACCTTTTCCTGATGATTCAGGACCAAGAGTGCCTCCAATGCATCAGACCATGAATCATGGCCCAGCCCCGGAGCTGGAGGAGGTGTATGTAAGGTCAATGGGCTGCATGGGCTTCCTGACCTCAGGGCAGAACCTGGGGGTGGGATGCTTCCCACTCAGTTCTTAATGTCAGCTGGGATTTTCTGGCTTCTCAGCTTTCTCTCCAAATGAACATGTACTTGGCTTGGTTAAAGGATGTGTGGTATTTTACAGGATGTAAAATGTTTAAAAAAAAAACATATTTCATGGCATATTGTCATTTATTATCTTAATCAAATTTAGCTTTAACAAACATTATAAAACCCCTTTAAGGAATAATTGTGGATGATAGTGGGGTTTTATTCCTTGCTGCACTTACTTATTGAATAGCTGATACAGGCACATTGTAAAAATTTCATACCCTTTCAAGAAGAAAACAAAGTATAGAGTGAAAGCTTCCTTATACTTCAGGCCCCTGTATGCCTTCAAGAGGAAAGCTCCTGGGGCTGGGAAGTTGGCTCAGTGGTAGAGCACTTGCCTTGCATGCATGAGGCCCTGGGTTCGATTCCTCAGCACCACATAAGCAAAAAGAAAAAAGCCGGAAGTGGTGCTGTGGCTCAAGTGGTAGAGCGCTAGCCTTGAGCTGAAGAGCTGAGGGACAGCGCCCAGGCCCAGAGTTCAGGCCCCACAACCGGACCAAAAAAAAAAAAAAAGGAGGAAAGCTCCTGCTGCTTGCTAGCTATGAGACAAGCAACATCCCTGTTTTACACAAATGCATGGGTATTATACAGACTGTTTTATACTTGGCTTTTTTCTTTAATGTACACTACAGATCTTCACAAGTCTTTTAACCAGCTACAGAATAGTCCTCTGCTGGTATGAATGGTAAGAAGAACTGTTCTATTTATTAAGTTATTTAGTAAATTGGCTCTTAATAGACAGATTCCAAATGAAGATAGTACTGCAATTAATAATAGTCAAGTTGGGTAGCAGGTTAGAGCTTTGGTTGGTTTTGTATAATAACGAAAAGCCATCAACAGCAGGTCAGGGTAAAATTTTGAAGTTACTTAAAGTTGTCATTTAATAAGTGATATGCTTTAGTCACTGGAGAATGCTATAATAACTACATTAACCATTATTATGTATCACTTCATGATATATAATTTCATGATATATAATAAAATTATTTTAGTATAATGATGATACAGGCTATACAATCTATGAATATCACATGGGTTGGTCCCAGGTTACCCTGAAGGTATCAAAATCTGCTCAAGTCCTTATGGAAAGGTATGTAGTGTTTGCACAAAACCTACACGCATCCCTCCTGTACATTTAAAAGTATCTGACTCAGGACACCTAATACAATGCGAACATTATACAAAGAGTTGTGGTATTACATTGTTTAGGGCATAAAGAAAGTTAGAACATGTTCAGTAAAGACATGATTTTTTTCAAACACTTTTGATCTAAGGCTGGTTGAATTCAGATTTAAAGATCCAACTATAGCTACTTTTTGTTAATAATTATATACAATTATGAACTCTGACTATGTGCCTGTCAGGTTCTAATGCTTGAATGGCATGCCATCTCTTTCAATAAGACACTAAAGAGTCATCCCACCTCAGAAGAAGAAATGAAGGCACAGTTCCACAGTGACAGAGCAGGAATTTTTAGGAGCAGGTTCTACAGCTTTGGAGTGTACTTGGAATGTTAAGACAGACAGGCCTGGTTCTTCAACCCTAATTGCACCTCTTGCCAATCAAATGACCTTCATCATGCCACTTAAATTGTTCCTTGATGTAAATAACACAACTACCAGCTGGGCAGGACCCAATTAACAAAAATTTAAGGATTCAAAATATACACAGTTTAACATGAAATGCCTAACAGGTGAGAGGAATTCACCTTAAAAAAATGCTGCAAAACAACACCCCTCATTATTTTATCCTTTTAAAACATATCACCACCTTGCAAATGCACATGTACACAGATGCTCATGCACACAGACACTAGCAGTATAGAGAGAACTCAACTAGAGAGAGAGCAGATGGATCTAAACATAATACCCCCATGGCAGGACATATGCAAGGCTTCCTTGCCAAATCCAGGAACTGTTTAGGTCAGAGGGCCTGTACAGCCAAGGCAGCTAGCTCCCCAGCAAGTATTCTTTAGCCAGGCAGGAGTAACGTGATCTGAGCACCAGTTTCAGAGGCTTGTATAAATAGCCCTCTTATTATAGAGGAGCTTGGTGTCCAGAACTCTGGGTGGAGGCCCTCCCTGGTGGGCTTTCCTCAGGACTGTGGTCAGGGAAGGCCATGTGGCTTGGAAGCCGCTATACAAGTGACATGTCCTCTATGGGCCTCCTAAGGGCTCGCCTTCTCTGACCAACCAGTCCACAGTGTTATGTGGTTCTAGGGCCTCCAAAATTAACCACCGGTAAGCCAACACCAGCTCCTTTGGCAGCCTGTGGCTTCACAGAGTCTGCAGGGTCAGGAAGAGCTGACCACTCTAGGAAAACAGATGGTCCAGTTAATTTGGAAGTTGTACGGTAACTCTTTTTCCTTCTCTTCCATCTCTCTCTCTCTCTCTTTCCCTCCACTCACTTGTGATGCTCCCATTTGCAGGGTATGTCACAGCTCCCTTAGGGAGTACCCCTGATTGTTATCAGTGAGCAGTTCTGCTGACCTGGGCACCATGAATTTAGCTCACCATGGACTGGGTAAGGAGTGACACAGGAAAAGGAGGTGGTCACAGTGGCAAGAGGTTCAACCTTTCCGCCTTCAAGACTGTATTTCTAAACCAATGCACAGTTCCAAGAAAGTTTCCATAGAGGAAAACTATAGAATGACCCTTTCCCATGGCCAAAGCCCTATGCACCCTCTTCAATTAACAGCTACAATAATGCAGATAAAGTGACTATGTCTATGTCACAGAAAAGGGAGATGAGACACTGAGAGGCTAAGGCACTTGTCCAGGGACACAGACCCAAAACTTAAAAGGGCAAACCAAACTCAAATTCACCTGCTTTTATTACCAAAATGAGCACTTCCCTTCCTTCACCATAGCATATCCATGAAGTCAGGTCTGTCCTCATAGCCCCCATACTCTGGAAGGTATCTTGGACAAATCCCAGTCCTAAGCTCTGTCACAGAATTTGAACTACGAGTATCAAAGACACTCTGGAAAGCACTGGATTACCAACTAGCTTCTGATGGACTGGGCTTATCATCTTGAGTAACTGGAATGGGCTGACATGTTTTCTCCCCCAAGTTCCTATGCTTAAACTTGAACTTCCAGTACCTCAGCCCCTATATTTGCTGACAGAACGGTTGATAAGGAGACTGAGGAGGCAGCTTAATAGACCACTTACCCAGCAGATAAAGGCCCTGGATTGGATCCTAGCATCACAAAGAGGTGATTAAGGTTATGTGAGGTCACACGGACTGGCCCTAAACCAATATGAATGGTGTCTTTATCAAAGGAAATTAGGACACAAGAAACACCAAAGGCCACATGAGGGTACTGCAAGAGGCAGCCAGCCATCTGCCAAACCAAAAAGAAGCCTCCAGAAGAAACCCACTCTCCAGGCACCTTAGAGTTGGACTTCCAGCCTCCAGAACTATGAGAAATAAATTTCTATTGCTAGAGCCACCCAGCCTGTGGTATTTGTTATTGAGGTCCAACACAGCCTCCTCTTACAACTAACTTCCTTCTGGCTCTGGCTTATTGACCTTATGGGAAAATGAGGGCTCTGGACAAAGAATTTCCCAGGACCCTTCCAACTTTGATGGTCCTCTAACTTTAGAAATCTGAACCGTTTTTTAACAGACACAGAAATTATAAATGCCAATTTGGAAAATCTGGAGATGGGGGTAGGAAATGCACATATTTTGTAAATTGTACCAGTCAATAAAAGTACATTTTCTTTAGAATAAGCTGTCAATAATAGAATCAAGGAGTAACAACTAAAGACTTTTTACCAGTTACTTGTAACTAAAATCTAAAAAGAGCTTACCTAATTATCTCTAATAAAAAAATCGAATAGCAGTACTGGGTGAATGATTTATAGAAATCCATGTGTACATATAAATATTAAAATAAGGCATTACAAAAATTTGATTTATATAAGTATTTTAAATTTAACAATGAGAAGGTAAGAACACTAATTTATATACATGCATATGCATATATGCATATATATATGGGGGAAGCAAGAGAGGGGAGAGAAGTGATAGGGAGAGGGGGAGGGGGAAGAAGGAGAAGGAGGGGGAAAAAGACAGGGAGGGAGGGAGTGAAGGAGAGGGAGAGAGGGGAGGGGAAGATAGAGGGAGAGAGGGGGAGGGGGAGAGAGAGAGAGAGAGAGAGCGTGGCAAGGCACCAGGCAGAGTGGTAGAAGCTTGTAATTCCAACACTCAAGCTGAGCTGAGGCAGGGCCAAGCACAGGTAGCTCACACCTGTAATCCTAGCTACTCAGGAAGCTGAGATAGGATCGCGGTTCAAAGCCAGCCTGGGCAGGAAACTCCATGAGATTCTTACCTCTAATAAACCACTAGAAAACTGGAATGGCGCTGTGGCTCAAGTGGTAGAGCACTCACCTTGAGCTGAAGAGCACAAGGACGGCGCCCAGGCCCAGAGTTCAAGCCCCACAACCAACCAAAAAAAAAAAAAAAAAAGCTGAGGCAGGAAGATTCTAACTGTGAGGCCAGCCCAGGGTACATAAACAAGACCCTGTCTAAAACCTCCCTTACCCACCCACCCCCCAAAATAGCTTTGAGACCCAGTTTGATTCTAAAATTATATGAGTACACAGGTATATATTTCTCACCAAATATTCACAATGGATATGCTTGGATAAGACTACTAATGATGGTGTCAAGTTTATTTACATGCTTATACACAGTACACTTATAAAATTGTCCTTAAAGTATTGTTTCAGTAGTTTATGTGTACCCTTTTGCTGAGACTATGATCTGTACATTTGTCAATTAAGTTAAAAGAAACATCACTAGATGTGATATAGAAGGAAATAAAATATTGTCAACCCTTAAAAAAAAAAAAAGAATACTAATGATTTCATTAGTCTCTAGACATTGCCATAGTTGCAATTTCTTTTTTCCTTGTAGAATGTATGTCCATATGACCTATGAAGGCCTCTATAAAGTCTCTATGGGGCTAAAATTCCTGATGATCCTAAAATCCACAGCAAAAGCAGAATTTTTTACATCAAAAGGCAAAAAAAGGACCCAGTGTGGTAGTGTACTCTTCTGATTCCAGCTATGAATGAGGCCTAGCTAGAAAGATGGTAGTCCAAGACTGTCCCCAGGCAAAAACATGAGATCCTATGTGGGAAAATATATAACACAAAACTGAGCTTGGAGACACGATTCATGTCCCTAGTTGAAGAATGCCTGCTTAGCAAACACAAGGCCCTGAGTTCAAACCCCAGGCCCACCAGAGGAACAAAAGAGGTCCTGAATTAAAGGATTCTGCAAGGCAGCAAGCCAGGTGCTCTAACACCTGTAATGCCCAGCAGGTGAGTCCCTGCTGTCCACACTTCTCTATCTGACTCCTGGGAAGCAGAAGAGGTGACCTGACACCAAAGATCACTGCTCAGTGGGCTGCTCCATCTCCCTGGACACTGTGCTAAAGGACCAGGCCAAGGTGCGTTGCCCTAACTAGTCCAGCAAGTCTCCCAAAAGGTGAGAGCACTCTTCCCCACACGCACTTGGCTGTGATTTCCAGTAATGAAGTCTACTAGATTATAACATGCCCAACAGACTGCCTAAGAGAAGGAGAAGGGCTGCAGAAAAGGGGAGGTATAAAGTGTCCCCCTTTCTCAATGGGGTTACATGCTAAGTACTAAACCCTATATATACATACCTGTGACAAAGTTTAATTTATAAAACCAGGTATAGTAACAGATGAACAGCAACAATGAATGAAAATTTTAACACTTATAATAACATACTGTATTAATAGTTACAGTATGAATGAGAATTCTCTCAAAATACCTTACTGTATTTTCACCTCCTGCTTTAAACAACAACAAAAAAGACCTTCACAGATTCTCTTTGCCACATCCAAATTGCTAGCACCATCACCCTCATGCATTGGGGGCATAATTAGGTAAAATAGGAGTTACTTGAACACAGCACTGCAATATCATAGTAATAGATAACTGAGATGGCTACTACTTAGCTAACTGGCAGGTAGCATATACAGTATGGATGTGTTGGGCGAAAGGATGATTCATGACATGGACAAAACAGAGTAAGATTTCATCGCACGGCTCACAGTATGTATCATTTAAAACATATGAAATTTTTATTCTTACAGTTTTCTATTTAATATGTTCACATTATCACAAGTGACCAAAACCCTAGATAAGTCTGTACTATTGCAGTATTATTTATCACCAATGGTATATATGTAAATGTTCCTTTTCACAAACTTAAGACTGCCCCTCTAGCAGAGAAAGAATGCTGCAAAATGAAAGGAGATCTCCATCCACTCCCCAATGGTTTGGGAAAAGTACTTACACTTCCTGTAGATTCGGCAAGTTCTCAAAAACAGCAGGGTCGATCTCAGAGAGTTTATTGTGACTCAGGTTTCTGACAAAGGAAAAGAAAAGCAATGTATTAATTGACATTACACCCTGGATTAAGAAATCTTGTCATCTTCCCACAGATAGATAAATAAGTAAATAAATAGCCAACCCTATCCCTCATAATTTCCCATCTCCTTCATTACTTTAAGTAGCATTAACAGTAAGATTTTTCAAATTTATCTCTCCTTCCACTTGTATTCACAAGCAAGGTACTCAAAATGAGACTGAAAATTCAAAATACTTGAGGTTGGCTAAATTCAAATGAATTTTAATCGATACCATTTTACTACCTGGTAACTTAACAAAAAAAATTTTCAAATTAAAGTGCCCTGGTCTATGTGGTTTGTACCCTAGAAATCCAAGGCTCTTTTGAGCAGTTTTGTTTTGTCCAGAAGAGAAAGTAGTAAGAAAGAAAGGAGATGTTGACTCATCATTTTCTAAGCTAGTGATTCTCAACTTGGGATAATTCTGTCCCTCTGAGCTGCCATTCTGTTTCCTGCCACCAGTCTACTGAGCCCTGAGCGTGTACAAGAGGTGAATGTGTTTCATCTCAGCTATTCATTCCATTGACATTACTGACAATTACCAGTACTACTAATCATGAGTTTGAAGTCTGAGTCACATTTGTGGCAACTATCTGTTAAACTTACTCCAGAGACATTTCAATCAATACTAACCTAGAGCTGATAGCCATTTCACTGTGAACTAGAAGACATTCATCTAAATAAAAGTCAAACTGCACTTGAAACTAATGGTCCATCTGCGTTTGTGGCATGGACTGAATTAAAAGCAATTTGCCCAGAGATTAAGTTACTGTAAAGATTAAAGGTGGTAATTTTTAAACCACATATGGAAGTCAACTATGAGCTTGCCTGGGGGGCATTTATGAATGGATAGGTAGAAATCAATGTATTAAACCTGAAAAAAAAAAAAGTCCAACAGATAATTCACTACAACCCAAAAAAGAAATAGAATGAGTTTCATTTTTAATAGGCTGAAGTATATCATTTCTGGGGGCAAAGATACTGAGAGCTCATAAGGCTGTAAAGGGTCATATCACAGGTAACAAGAGTGAAAGGCATCTTAGAGAAAGACTTAGAAACTGCAAAGGCAAGAAGCTAGAAGGGCAAGCAGGTCAGGCAAGTAGAAGAATAAGGCCAATATGGGAAACTGCCCCCTTCTTCCACCTTCTAAAGGGGCCTTTGTTCCTTGGTAAAATCTGAATTCTTTGGGGAAATCGTTTTTGTTTTTTTTTTGGGGGGGAGGGAGAGACAGTCCGGGGCTTGAACTCAGGGGGCTGGGCACTGACCCTACACCACTTCTTGTTCAAGGCTAAGCACTCTAACACTCTGAACCACAGTACCACTTCTGGCTTTTTCTGTTTATGTGGTGCTAAGGAATCAAACCCATGGCTTCATGCATGCTAGACAAGCATTCTACCACCAAGCCACATTCCCAGCCCTCTTTTAAATTCTTTTTTAAAAAAAAAAAAAAAAAGGAAAGGAAAGGAGAAAGGGGAAACAAAAAGAGGTAAGGGGAAAGGGAAAAGCTGAAAGGGGAAAGGAAAAGGGGGAAAAGAACAAGAGGATGGTCCAAACCAAACTCTGCAGGCCCTATCTGGCCTGAGGACCAACTACTGTCTGCAAATACACACATGGTTAGGATGGAGCTGGAGCTTACAGGGCCTTCTGCAACGAAGGCTCTGTTCTGAACCATCTGAAGTGAAATCACTCCCCACCTCTTCCCACAATTGTCCACATTCTTTATCAACTTAGAATTAAAAAAAAAAATCTGAAGCCATACATCACTGGTTTGTCTTTCCCTGAAAGGACAGACAACATACATCTAAATTTCAGAAAAGCTGCCTAAGCTCTCAGAGAAAGAAATGTTCCCACATTCGTATTATCTAGAAGCCAAGGAACATCAGAACTCAACAGTGAGGTGCCAGCAAGTAGCCACAGCAATGAACACTTTTAAGCGGAAATGTTGGCTCTCACTGGGTCAGCCTGGATGTGGTAACTCTTTTAAGTTTCAATGAACTAGAAAAGCCATGGATCAACACACAAGTGTCAGGGGACTGCCTAGAAAGGAAGATCTTCTCTCCAGAGCACCTAGGGGCAAAACAAAGAGGAGAGCACTGAAGCTCACAAGCCTTAGAACAGTCTCTGCCTCTGGACACAGCTGCCCCAGATCTTAAGTTTGGGAAGTAAGTGGTCCTGAAACTCGGAACAAGCTGCTGAGTTTTAAGTACCTCCTCAGGATGATGAGAAAAATATAAAACAAAATTCTCACCTATACTTTGTCACACTGTTTCCCATTTCAGGGAGACAGACCAGAGTGGCTCACACCTGTAATTCTAGCTACTCAGGAGGCTGAGATCTGAGGGTTCCAGTTCAAAGCCAGGCTTGGCAGGAAAAGTTCGTGAGACTCATCTCCAATTAACCGCCTGAAAACCAGAAGTGGCGCTGGGGCTCAAATGGTAGAGTGCTGGCCTTGAGCTGAAGAGTTCAAGGACAGCACCCAGGCCCAGAGTTCAAGCCCTATGACCAAAAAAAAAAAAAAAAAAAAGGTTCAGGGACAGCACCCAGACCCTGAGTTCAAGTCTCAGAGAAACAGAATCCTCAGCCTCATGGTTGTTTTGATGCCAGTCCTGGAGCTTGAACTCAAGGCCTAAATGATGTCCTTGAGCTTTTGTGCTCAAGGCTAATGGTTTACTACTTAAGCCACACCTCTACTTCCAGATTTTTGGTGGTTTAATTGGAGATAAGAGACTCAATGAACTTTCAAGATCCTCAGATTGTATCCTCTTGAGAAGCTAGGAGTACCACCTACTCCTAGTGTCATGGTTTATTGTGGCAAAAAATAAATAACATATGACTCACCAGGCTGAACATTTTTTTTTCTTTTTTGGGGGGTCCGGTCATGGGGCCTGACCTCTGGGCCTGGGTGCTGACCCTCAGCTCTTCAGCTCAAGGCTAGCGCTCTACCACTTGAGCCACAGCGCCACTTCTGGCTTTTTTTCTTTTTGCTTATGTGGTGCTGAGGAATCGAACCCAGGGCCTCATGCATGCAAGGCAAGCGCTCTACCAACTGAGCCACCTTCCCAGCCCCCGGCTGAACATTTTTTAAGGGTAACATTCCATATAGTAACATCACTATGCAACCAGCCACCCATATTAAGAATTTTCTCAACATCTCAAACTCTATAGCCACTGAATACAAGCTCTTCACTCTATCTGTTCTAGCTAGGGCAACCACCATTCTATTTCTCTCTTGGTACTCCTGTAGTATTGCTGTCAGACATTTTTTTTTCTTTTGCTAGCTAAGTAATAGTCCTTTGTATGAACCTATCACATTTTGTGTAGCTATTCATTTGTGGTCATGACATTGGGTTTTTGTTGTTGTTGTTGTTTTACCTTTGGCTACTTGTGAATAAATGTAGTCCCTATTACAGCAAATATACTACTATACACAGTGGTGAGGGGTTGTTCCAAATTAAAAAAAATATTTTGGGGTTTTAATTGTTTGACTACAATGCTTGCTGATGTTTATTTCTGGACAAGGAAAAAAACTCAGCCTAAGACATGAGCAGACATATGATTCTTATCTCAGATCCTAAGAACAGTCAAAGGGTTAAAGTGAATGAACATTTTTAGTGAATCCCTTCCTCCAGGTGGCAGCTGACACACATGCACATCTAAAGCATTTCACTTATTCTGAGGAACACAATCGCCCCTTCCCAAGCCTGACATCTGAATGGGTGTTCGGTGGAAGGTTTCAGATTCTCCTGTCAAAACAATTCATCTGTCAGCAGGACAGATGCTGTCAGAAGCATTTCTGCACCTTTCAGTAGCAAAAGCTCAAGAAGGAAAGAAACCTCCGGGAATTTAGTTCCTGCCAATTGCAGCTTTCATTAAACATTTTGTCAGCCATTGTCATAACACAAATTTTCCCTGTTCTTGCACAAAGGGTGCGCAGATCTTCCAACAATTGTGCCCAGCCGTAGATATTCTTTCAGCTAATCTGTTGAAAGAAGACCGTGCGGCCCACCAATTGCAGAACACACAAGAGGCATGGTGGAGAAGAACAGCTCAAGTTTTATCCAGGCGTGTCTGAAAAACAAACTGTTTAACCAGGCAGGACAACTCCTGCCCACTGAGCATGTTTCCTGACAAGGGCCCCTCCTACTCTGAGCCCACAGATTTTAGAGAGTTCAGAAGTCTTTCAATAGCTGAGAACTAGCCACCAGTATCTAAACCTAGCTATCAGCTGTTTGGTTATTTCTATTTAAAATACTTAATACCTCATAAAACTTCAGATTCATTGGTCGCACTCAGCCACATTTCAAGCATCAGGCAGGCACATGCGACTACTGCATTCTAGATAAGGCATGGCATCATCACTGAAATCTACTAAACTGGGTCGAAACCTAAAGTTATCAACAAATACTCTGCACCTCTAGGTATTCCACAAACATCTCAAGTGAAATGGCACCTAAAGAAGAAACTTAGATTCTAACAATAAATCTCAAAAGTCAAAGGCATAGCCTTTGTGCAGTATGTATGAGGTCAATCCCAACATCACAAAGAAAATACTAATAATGAAATAGGATTTGTTGCGTAGAAGGCTTGCCGAGCATTCAGAAAGCCCGGGGGTTAAAAAAATAACTAAAATAAAAATAAATCTCAGTTTCCTAGTAATTCAAGAACTTTGTTGAAAATTTAGGAAGGATGTGCACAGGTTTTAATTCAAGTTCTTTAAGCATGTGGTCCTTAACCATCTCAGCAGGAGAAAGGGCCTTTGAAAGCTGAAATCCTTAGGAAGATGGTCCTAATGAAACTGCCCTCTGAGGGTAATTCTATAGGCTTAATTGGTATTTACATAATCTGACCAGCACCTTCCTGGATTACAGCATGAACCACATATTACAAACTTGGCAAATCTTCTTTCAAAGCTTGCAAACAATAATTCATTGACTTCTTGGAAATTGAAGGACAAAAAGTT